CTGTGGGGGTCAAGGCCAACATCTGAGCCTGAGTAGTGTGCCTGCCCTGCAAGGCTCTTTGGCTCTTCCCTGAGTGACGGAGCCAGGAAGAGGGCCGCAGGTACCTGCCAAACCCTCCCCACGGCCCTGTTGCAGGAGGAACCTCTCATTTGGGTTTTTCTCTTCCAGTCCACCCCTCACTGTAGGATGGTGCCTCCAGCCCAAAGACCTCCATAGACCTCACTGGGGGAGTCACTGCTGGGCAGGACACTGCCCCCACTGCCCCAGCCCATCTCCCACTGCCATCGGGCCACATGCTGGCTAGAGGAGGAGGGTCAGGTTTCAGCTGAGGCCCAGAGTCCAGCTTCTATATATCATTTGCTAGCCGTTTGAGGGCTTACTCTGTCTTAGGCCTTGGGTCAGGCTCTGGGGGTGCAATGGCGAGTCACATCACAGTGCTTGCCCTTAAAAAGCTCACAGGCAGACTAGGGAAATGACAAGCAAACGGTTACAGGACAGGGAGCCAAGCGTCCTGCCTGGGGACGTCAGAATGCTGTGGGAGCACAGAAGAGGGACCCTCACCTGGCTGAGTTTCAGGCTAGAGGAGACGTAGAGGTCCCCATGGCAGGAAGAGTAGCACGTTGTTGGTTTCCCCTTAGCGCCCAGCCCACGTGCATGGGTACCAATCTGAGACCCAAGAGAACTGAGGAGGAAGCATGCCCTGGGGAGTGTGGGGCTGGGTGACTGGACAGTCTAGGCTTGTTCTAATGTGCACAGAAAGAGGACAGGGCCAGGCCTACCCCAGTCATGCTCAAGTCCTGCCTAGGACAAGAGCTGGCCTAATGAGAAGAAACCCCTAGAAACAGGTCCCTGGCCTGCCTGAAACCGAAAAGAAAGGTACCAACATGTATTGCACGTGGCAATGTGTCCTGGATCTTAAAAGTGACGTAGGAATATGGTTTAGAGATGCTGGGAAATCCTCCCCATCCCCTCCCTCCTCATGAGACTTAGAAGTCCCCAGGGGTGCCAGCCTCAACGGCCCCTGCCATTCTGTTGCCAAAGTTGGTCATGGAGAGAAACCCAGAGACAGGACTGAAGGTCTTTACGGTCTTTGTCCTTGAGGGGTCTGGTGTTTCTATATCTGTAGAGGAAAGAGGCTTAAATAAGCCATTATGATACAGTGGCTCGATGGCCTCATTCAGTCATTTGCTCATTCATTCCACAAATGCTGAGTACTTGGTGGGCTCCTTACCCCGTGTAAGGTACCAGGGAAACAAAACTGTTAAGGCCCCATTCTTGTCCTGAAGGATCTCACAGTCTAGGGATGAGTGTGTGCTGGCTGCTGTGGAAGGGACAAGGAGGAAGCATTTCATTCTACCTAGAGGAACAAGGTGTGGTCATGTGCAGCCTCCCAGGGGAAGTGACCTGTGAGTTGAGTTTGGGAGTGGTTTTACCAAGGAGAAAATTGAGGAAGGGCATCCCAGGCCACATGACCACAAAGCCATGGGATGTGAGTGCAGTTTGCTCTGGGAATCGCAAGTACGTTTGATAAAACCAGACCCTCTGGGGAGGGGTGAGTGCTGAGACTCAAGAAGACAGGGATCCAGATACAAAAGGCCTGGCCTACCAGGCTCTGGAGTTTGGACTTTTTCCTGAAGGCAGTGTTAGCTTTGAAGGATTAATTTTTTTCCTTTTTCTTTTTCTTTTTTTTTTTTTGAGATGGAGTCTTGCTGTGACTCCCAGGCTGGAGTGCAATGGCACAATCTCAGCTCACTGCAACCTCTACCTCCCAGGTTCAAGCAATTCTCCTACCTCAGCCTCCCGAATAGCTGGGATTACAGGTGGGTGCTATCATGCCCAGCTGATTTTTGTATTTTTAGTAGAGACAGGGTTTCACCATATTGACTAGGCTGGTCTTAAATTCCTGACCTCAAGTGATCCGCCTGCCTTGGCCTCCCAAAGTGCTGGGATTACAGGCAGGAGACCCCATGCCTGGCTGCTTGGAAGGATTTTAAATGGGCAAGTGACATCATCAGAAAGCAGCTGAGAAAGTTGTCTAGGAGGCTGATGGCAGTTGGATTGGAGGCCAAGTATTATTCTCAGTTAGCAGCAAGGAAACTGAGGCATGGGTATCTTCCCAGGTCACAGCTACTAAGTGGGGTTTCTTCCACAACACCAAACTGCAGAGAATTCCTCACTGCAGAACGTTTCTGGTTGGACTGAGACGCTAGGAGACAATGGCGCATTTGTCTGGAGCAGGGGTGACCCTGAGCCCCACTTTGCCTCTTAAGCAGATATCCAACAGGTTTGCCCAAATTGCTCCTGGAAGGCCTTCCCCGCCTACTTCCTGCATTCCAAACAGAGGCTGTGGGAATGCTCTTGGAGCTCGGGGACCATTCAGAGCATCTGTTCGTTGGCAGGGTGACTGCAGGCCCAGCTGTCCTCATTTCTGGCCACCCCGAAGGTGCCAGGCCTGCAGCCTCTCTCATCCAGGCTGGGGCAGGGCGAGATTGTGAAGAGGCCCCAAGGCTTCCGCTGCCTCCGAAGGCCGCTGCAGCTCCGGGCAGCTAAGGGGTGACTGGCTTCCCCGGAGGTTTGTCACAGGTTCCTGGTGACTAAGGCCTCCAGCTGTGCAGAACAGGGTCAGCTGGAGGATGAAGGAAGAGATGGTATCTGCAGGCTCCCTGCAGGCTCCGTTCTCCCTGGGAGGGAATATCTCTGAGGTCCTAGCTCATGACATCTGCAAACTTGGTCAGCCATGGCCTCTAGTTCTTTGAAATTCACCCAAGGCCCCAAGTGGCTGAGTGACTGAGGTGGGGGCAGGGAGTGGGAGACAGGGTGTCATAGGGATCCTGGCTGGCGGTCAGCCTTTGTGACTGAGGGGCAGATCCTCTGGGCTTCAGAAAGTAGGCGGCCGCAAGTTATACCCTCCAACCCCTGCCCCACCCCTGGGCACACAGAGACCAAGGCTGAAAAGAAAAGCAAAACAAAAGAGGGACTTGGGGAATACATCTACCATGTGCCTGGAACACAACAGGCGCTCACATGTGCCTGTAAGCAGACATGTGCCTGCTGTATGCCACCAGCACCAGGCATAGGGACCAACATGTTCCAGGTGAGGGAGACAGGTGAAAAGTCACGCCCCATTGAAGGAGGGGCACCTGGTGGTCCTGGGGCATTGAGTGGGGGTTGGGGAAGCATGTGCAATCAATGTTGGGGAGCCCCAGTAGGAAGTTCTGGCCAGCTGGTATGTGCCTGGGAGGAAGTGGCTGGAGTGGCTGAGAGCTTTATGACCTACCTGGGCAGGCAGGTGGTAGGGGAGGCTGCGGGGCATCTGCCTGCCCACCCTACCAGCACCTCAGTGGGACTCAGCTCCTTCAACTTCCCCCAGCCCCCACTGCCGGGCCAGCATCCCTGGACGCCCCTTGCCCTCCTCCCCTGGCACCAGTTGCACGAGGACAGCCCCAGCATTGCTCCCTGCATGCTGTCCAAGGCTCCAGAGACTTGTACAGCATGCAAGGGCAACGGAGAGGGGCAAAGCCAGAGAGGAAGGGGCTCCAGATCTTGCAGGGCCTTTGGATGCAGGCTGGAGAACCGGGGGCTTTGTTCAAGAAGAAGGCAAAGAGGTGTCCGGAAGAGGTTTGCTGAGAGGAAACTCCAGGCCTGGCCCCAGGAGCTTAAGAAGTGAAGCTGACTTTCCCATCCTCCAGTCTACAGCCAGAACTTCCGGGAGGTGGAGGCTGCTTCCCAGATTCCTGGGATGCTCTGCCAACTTCCTTCTCCACCAAGGTCTCCAGGTCAGGGTCTCTCAGGGGCCCCAGCCTTAGGACAGGTGTTAGGTCTGGGGTCTGGCACAGGTGGTCCCAGCAGTCAGTGGGCTGGGAGTCTGCCCTCTCTGGCCACTGGGGCCCTGGGGCTGGCCTGGCCTGTGCTGTGGAGCTTCCTTTCCTCCCAAGATAGAAAATGGGACTTGGCTGCCAGGAGCTGGGGTTCCCTGCCTTGCAGGGGCCCCACCCTGTGTGGCCCTACAGTTGTCTAAGTAGGGGGACCCTGCCTCCCTGGCCCTACCCCCCTCACATCTGCCAAGAGATGATCCTGCTCCCTGTCTCCCGGCCCTCTTCCATCCTGGGATCCCAAAGCACCTGTGATAAGGAAGTCTGCAGGGATGTTTGATGAAGTGTATATGAGGCCTCTTTTTGTCTGGGCAGGGGCTTAAGAGAGGAGAGCCAACCTTTGCTGGACATCTGCTCTGTGCCAGTGCTGTGTGTTGGCTCCCCCAGCATGTCCACCCGGATACCACTGGACATTGAAGATGTCACCTGCCCAACATCCAATTCCTGGTCTTCCCACTGAAACTGCTCCTCCCTGAATGCCTTGTGACATCCAGTGACTGTTCATCCCACCACTCTGACTGCTTGGCCAAAACCCTCCAGTCAGGCTTGACTCTTCTCACCCACAACATACAATCCATCTGCAAAGCTCTTTGGCTCCGCCTTCAAAATACAGCCTGAATCCAGCCACTTCTCACCACCTCCACTGCCCCACGCTGGTCCCAGCCACCACCGAGCTCTCTCCGCTAGGCCTCAGTAGCAGCCTCCTGCCCAGGCTCCCTGCTTTCCCCTTGCTCTCCTTGTCTGTTCTCAACACAGCAGCATGTCAAGGCCTCAGTGCAATCATGTCAAGCATCTGCTCAAACTCTCCTTACCCCTCCAAGCCCAACACAGCTGCTCTGCGCTTCCATCCAGTCTGCTCTTCAGCCATACCATCGTCCTGCAGCAAACCAGCCTCACTCTGCCTCAGGACATTTGTCCCTGCTGTTCCCTTGCTGACCTGCTTCCCCCAGACCCTGCATGCCTGGCCCCTCACCTTACACCTGGTCTGGGTTTCTCCTGTCACCTGCTCCGCGGGGAGGCCTTCCTGACCACCCTACTTAAACTTGCAACTGCCCCTCCCACGCCGTCCCTCTTTCCTGCATGAGTCCCCATCATTGCACTTGTCACCATCCATCATCCTGTGTATTCATTCTGTTTATTATCTGCACCCCCACCCCTGTTAGAATGTATTAGGGCAGGAATTCATGTCTGTTTCATTCACCTGTGGATTCTCAGGGTCTGCAACTGTGCCTGGCATGCAGCAGGTGTGCGGTCATTGTTGAATGAATGAAGGAATGACTAGAGCCAAGGGTGAGAGGGGTTTTATAACTTCATTGCTGTTCCACAGCTAGTGGTAGCACCAGAGTTTGAAACTGGGTTTGTTTGGCGTTCTAGGAGTGGAGGAGACCTGGAGGAGAAAATAGCACATCAAGCCGAGGCCACAGGGACAGGGCAAGGGTTGAGAGGGCTCCAGGCAGGAGAAGAAAGGAGGAATAAGGTCCACGTTTGTGCACTTGGCAATAACAGGAAACGGCTGTGTGATTTTGAGCACGTCATTTCCCCTCTTGGAGGCTCAGCCTCTTCAGTGGGCAAGGGATGGGGATGGAGGGTGTGTGAGCGTCTTCGGTGCTGACATTCTGGGAGGCCAGCCCTGCTCACTGGGTGCACAGTGGCCTCTGGCAAGTGCTGGGTTTCCTCTCAGTCTGGCTCCTCCTTCCTCCTTCTGTGCCACCCGTGGCTCTGGCACCAATAGGAAGTTCTGGGCCGGCTGGTATGTGCCTGGGAGGAAGTGACTGAAGCAGGTTGAGAGCTTTTTGACTTACCTGGGCAGGGAGGAGGGAGGGGAGACTGCCGGGGGTCTGCCTGCCCACCCTGCAGCTCCTTAGTGGGACTCTGCACTTTCAGATTCCCCCAGCTCCCGCTGCCAGGTCAGCATCCCTGGACGCCCATCGCCCTCTTCCCCTGGCACCAGTTGCACGGGGACAGCCCCAGATGGCTCCTTGGCCTGGGAACAAAGGCTGTGCTGTGCCTGGCCCTGGGCTGGCCTCAGGCTGGGTCATACTGAGCCCTTCTGTCCCCACTTGGGGGTGAGGGGCAGACAGCACTAAGGTGACAGGCCTTTTTCCTGTCTCCCTTCCCCCTCGACCCCCAAATCGGAGGAGCTGACTCTCCCAAGGGAAAAATGACAGAGGCATCTTGTGTCTTGACCTAGGGAACAACAGACTATTCACTGCCCAGTCTGCCCTGTCACACCCAAGACCCTGCTGGGTTCAATGCCCCGATTGTTCCCAGCAGAGAGAGACATCCACTCTGCTGTGGTCACCACCCCCACCGCCTGCTCTCCCGTTACCATCAGGAAGTCCATCCTACATCTGACCTCCATCCCTCCTGCTACTGTGGCAGCCGCTTCCTCTCGAGCTCCTCTCCTGAGGGTGGAGAATAGCTGGTCCTGGTCACCTGAACTGCTTGGCCCCACATTCCTGCTCCAGTCAGCTGCCCCTGGCCTCACCCTCCCTCCAGCTCCCTGTCCCACCGTCCTCCCCATCCCAGGCACAGGCTGGTGGCTCCTTGCTCCTTACTGAACCATGGGGAGAGCAGGTGTGACTCAGGGCTGGATCGCCTTTGTCTTGCAGAAATGGGGGGCCTCCTTCCCAGAGGCCTTTAATGAGCTCCCCTCCCCTCACCCTATAAGCAAGAGCAAGGGTGTGAGATTTATGGCTGCTACTGGTAGATTCCTGAGCCACAAACCCAACATGCCATCCCATAAATCCTAGACTGCAGGACGGTTTTATGGGGAAGCCCTGTTTTTAGAAAGGGGTGTGGCTGGTCTCCCTCAGTGGAGCTTAGATGTCAGGGAGTCAAGCGCCTGCCTCTCCCACCCCCAGAGAACAACCATGAGGAAGCACAGGGACCTCAGTTCGTGCAGTGTAGGTGTGCCAGCTCCCAGCAAGGGAGATTCCCTGTCCTGTGGGGGGCCTCCTGCTTCCTTCCCCTGCTCTGAGGATCCCGCGCCTCAGCACTGGAGGGTAGTCTGGAAGCCTGGGCAGATAGTTGTCCCTTAACTGGACCTCAGATGCTTCCCGGTCACAGCTCCAGATGTACATCATTGAAGATGTTTACAAATGCATTTTCCAAGGCACCATCCTCAGAACCTCAGTTCCAGAGTCTCAGGGTGAGACCTAGGAATCTGAATTTTTTTACAATGCTCCCTGGTGATTCTAATGTTCAGCTATCTTTGAAAATAATTGGCTCACTACAGTGGTTCATGCCTGTAATCCCAGCACTTTGGGAGGCCGAGGTGGGTGGATCACTTGAGGTCAGGAGTTCGAGACCATACCCGCCAACGTGGCAAAACCCTGTCTCTACTGAAAACACAAAAATTAGCTGGTGTGGTGGTGCGGGCCTGTAGTCCCAGCTACTTGAGACTGAGGCACAAGAATTGCTTGAGCATGGGAGGTAGAAGTTGCAGTGAGCCCAGATCACGCCACTGCACTCCAGCCTGGGCAACACTGTCTCAAAAAAAAAAAAAAAAAAAAAAAAAAAAAAAAAAAAAAAAAAAAAAAAAAAAAAAAAAAAAAGAAGAAAAGAAAATAATTGATCTGTACAAGGGGCCATCTCCACTCTCCTATCTTGCTGGGAAATGGGAGTCACCAGGTAGGCATGTCTGGGTCCTCCTGTCACTGGGACCCATACCTCCTGCCACCATCATGAAGCCTCCAGATTAGATCTCTCTGGCCTGGATGCTATACACAAGTGTGAGGGAGGGTGGCTGCCCTCTGGAAGTTTCCTGTGTGTGAGAGTCCTGCCGACAGCAGGCCTGAGACATTGCACAGAGCCATGGAGGAGTGGCTGAGGATGGCTGGCAGGAAGCAGTTTTGGGATGGAGAGTCAGGAACGTCCAAGGCTGGTGGGCTCTGCCAAGGAAGCCGAAGAGGAAGCGCTCTGTTACCTTCTCATCAAAGGAGGCGCCACCAGCCCCTGAGTTCCTTGAGAACAGAGACCACCCTTTACTTGCCTCCGAAGCCCTCATGCCTGGCACAATGCCAGTGCATTGTAGGTGCTCAGTTTTTACCTGTTTGTTTGTTTTTTGAGACTGAGTCTTGCTCTGTCACCCAGGCTGGAGTGCAGTGGCACAATCGCCACCTCTGTCACCCAGGCTGGAGTGCAGTGGCACAATCTCCACCTCTGTCACCCAGGCTGGAGTGCAGTGGCACAATCTCCGCTCAGTGCAACCTCCACCTCCAGGCTTCAAGTGATTTTCCTGCCTCAGTCTCTCAAGTAACTGGGATTACAGGTGTGCGTCACCACACCCGGCTAATTTTTTTGTATTTTTAGTAGAGACAGGGTTTCACCATATTGGCTAGGCTGGTCTCAAACTCCTGACCTCAGGTGATCCACCCACCTTGGCCTCCCAAAGTGCTGGGATTGTAGGTGTGAGCCACCGTGACCGGCCAGTTTGTTGAGTGGAACTGAGACCAGGGCCCACTGACAGAGATGGGCCTGCCTAGCAGTGCAGACCTGAGGCCTCCACCCTGAGAGGTGCCAGCCCGCTGAAGGAATGGAGAGCCTGTTCACACTTAGCCACAGGGATCAGGGCGGCTGTGTTTGGGGCACCACTAAGCTGTGTTTGGGGCAGCCAGGAGCATGTGCTGCCAGACAGAGGACCCTTTCCAGGCTGGCTGAGGACAGAAGGATGTGATCATTAAGCAAAGCCAACATGTTACTGAACCATAATCCCTTAAACCAGGAGGATTCGGGAAGGGCCTGGTCGCCTTGGCAACTAGGTGCTGGCCAGTGGCGGGGCTGCTTCCAGGAGTGGGCTGTGCCTGGGGCATGGGTAGCAGCTGGGAGGGGGTGCAAGGTGGCCCATCACAGGGCTATCCCTCTGGTGCCTTCTTGCCAGCATGGGTGGGAGCCTTGGTGAGCCCTCAAGGGCAGTGTGTGCAGAGCAGAATGAGAAGGGGCTGCACTAAGTGTGTAAGAAACCATGAAAGGGAGTGGAAGGGAGGTGGGACAGCGCTGCTCTGGGTTTTCAGGGCAGGAGGGAGAAGGGAGGGTGTGCAGGAAGAAGCAGTTGCATGGGGTCATCAGATGGCCAGCAGGGCATCCTCTAGTTCACAGGGCACGAGGAGCTGGGGAGCCCAAGGAGGAAAGCTTTCACAGCTGGGGGCGGGGGCCGGGGGGATGGGCAGAGCAGCTCACCCTGCTCCTCCATGGTGTTCTTGATAGAAGATACCCTGCCCGCTTGGGTGGCTCTGGCATGGGAAGGTCCCAGCAGGGCTTAGGCCTCACCCTCCCTAGGGCTTGACTCTATTTCTGGCAAGCTTCTGTGTTTCCCCTGGGACCTTCCCTGCTCCTGACCTCCCATATTTCAGCTGGAGAGGAGGGGCAGCTGGGCAGCTCTGATGCACTCTTCCCTTCTCTCCCGCGGCATGCCAGAGCAGGGATCGTCAGGTGTCAGTATTGGAGGTGAAATGAGGTTTGGTCCCTATCATGTCCCAAGGGTGTTGGCCAAGCTGAGGTTCACTTTATGGGCCATGGTCAGTAAGATTTGCTGGCTGTGGATACATTCAAGCTCTGGCAAACAAGTTAGTAAATTTCTGCTGGCCCGGGGACTGCCTGGTTCTGGTGCCCTCCCTGCCACCCCAGCTCTTCCCCCAGAGCTCTCTAGACCTCCAGCAGCTAAGGGGTCAGGTCTAGGGGCCTTCGGGATCCTCTGTGTACATCATGCCCGCTATTATGACCAGTACTTTGCCGGACTAGGTGGTCCATAGAGAACCGCACGCAGGCGTGGGGGGTGGGCAGTGCTGAGAGTCACTAGGAGGAAGAGGGTGACTGGGAAGAAGACGGTGAGCACCCACTCTCCAGGGCGGGGGGTCAAACTTTGGAGAAGACACAACCCTGGTTCCTGGTGGTAGTGGCATACAGGGCAACAGAGCTTGGTGGGAAGAGAGCTGAATTCCCACTGGGTGGAGACCTGGGCTGGTGGCCTTGTTCTCACCTGCTCTTCTCACACCTCCCATCTCAGGGCCCGGCTGCCTGCTCCCTCATGATCATGAACAAGATGAAGAACTTTAAGCGCCGTTTCTCCCTGTCAGTGCCCCGCACCGAGACCATCGAAGAATCCTTGGCTGAATTCACAGAGCAATTCAACCAGCTCCACAACCGGCGGAACGAGGGTGAGAGGTCTGGGCCCACCCCAGCCCACCCCAGCACCTCTCCACCTTCAGACATTTCCCAGGCACCCGCTCCCCGCCCTGCCCGGCCCTTCCCCACTGGCCCTAGGGGAGGAGCACAGGACTGGGGGTGGGGGGCTACCCTCCTCCCCCTTCAGGGCAGAGAGGCAGGGAGGGGAGCTGATACCTGTCCCCTCAGACCTGCAGCTCGGTCCTCTTGGCAGAGACTCCC